CTCTCTCTCTCACTCTCAGTCTCACACACTCTCTCACTCCCACACTCACTCTCACATTCTCACTCTCTCTCACTCCCACACTCACTCTCACTCCCACACTCACTCTCTCACTCCCACACTCACTTTCATATTCTCACTTCCACACTCGCTCTCACTTTCTCTCACTCCCACACTCTCTCGCACTCTCTCACTCCCAAACTCTCTCTCACACCCGCTCTCACTCCCACACTCACTCTCACTTTCACACTCTCTCTCACTCCCTCACACTCTCTCACTCCCACACTCACTCTCACACTCTCTCACTCCCACACTCACTCTCACTTTCTCTCACTCCCACACTCTCTCGCACTCTCTCACTCCCAAACTCTCTCCCACACTCTCTCTCACTCCCAAACTCTCTCGCACACTCTCTCTCACTCTCACACTCTCTCTCACTCCCACACTCACTCTCACACTCTCTCTCACTCCCACACTCTCTCTCACTCCCACACTCACTCTCACTCCCACACTCACTCTCACTCCCACACTCACTCCCACACTCTCTCTCACTCCCACACTCTCTCTCACTCCCACACTCACTCTCACTCCCACACTCACTCCCTCACACTCTCTCTCACTCCCAAACTCTCTCACACACTCTCTCTCACTCTCACACTCTCTCTCACTCCCACACTCACTCTCTCTCACTCCCACACTCTCTCTCACTCCCACACTCATCTCACTCCCACACTCACTCTCACACCCTCTCACTCTCACACTCTCTCTCACTCCACTACTCTCACTCCCACTCACTCTCACACTCTCTCTCACTCCCTCACTCCCACACCTCTCTCCACACTCTCTCTCCCACACTCACTCTCACACTCTCTCACTCCCACACTCACTCTCACTTTTCTCACTCCCACATCTCTCACACTCTCTCACTCCCACTCCTCCCACTCCTCTCACTCTCACACTTCTCTCTCACTCCCACTCACTCACTCCCCCATCACTTCCCTCTCTCTCACTCCCACACTCACTTCTCACACTCTCTCACTCCCACACTCACTCCACTCTCTCTCTCACTCACTCACACTCTCTCACACTCCACTCACTCTCACTCTCTCTCTCCCACACTCTCTCTCACACTCCCAAACTCTCTCCACACTCTCTCACTCCCACTCTCTCTCCACTCTCTCTCACTCTCACACTCTCTCTCACTCCCACACTCACTCTCACACTCTCTCTCACTCCCACACTCTCTCTCACTCCCACACTCACTCTCACTCCCACACTCACTCCCACACTCTCTATCACTCCCACACTCTCTCTCACTCCCACACTCACTCTCACTCCCACACTCACTCCCTCACACTCTCTCTCACTCCCAAACTCTCTCTCACACTCTCTCTCACTCTCACACTCTCTCTCACTCCCACACTCACTCCCCCACACTCACTCTCACACTCTCTCTCACTCCCACACTCTCTCTCACTCCCACACTCACTCTCACTCCCACACTCACTCTCACACTCTCTCTCACTCTCACACTCTCTCTCACTCCCACACTCACTCTCACTCCCACACTCACTCTCACACTCTCTCTCACTCCCAAACCCACTCCCACACCCTCTCTCACACTCTCTCACTCCCACACTCACTCTCACACTCTCTCACTCCCACACTCACTCTCACTTTCTCTCACTCCCACACTCTCTCTCACTCTCACACTCTCTCTCACTCCCACACTCACTCTCACTCCCACACTCACTATCACACTCTCTCTCACTCCCACACTCACTCACACACTCTCTCTCACTCCCACACCCGTTCTCACTTTATCTCACTCCCACACTCACTCTCTAATACTCTCACACTCTCTCACACTCTCTCTCACTCCCACTCTCTCTCTCACTCCCACACTCACTCTCACATTCTCTCACTCTCACACTCTCCCACACTCTCTAATACTCTCACACACTTTCTCACTCTCACACTCTCTTACACACACACACTCTCTCTCACTCGTACTCTCACTCTCTCTCACCCCAACAGTCTCTCTCACTCCCACACTCACTCTCACTCCCACACTCACTCTCACACTCTCTCTCACTCCCAAACTCTCTCCCACACTCTCTCTCACTCTCACACTCTCTCTCACTCCCACACTCTCTCTCACTCCCACACTCACTCCCACACTCACTCTCACACTCTCTCACTCCCAACTCTCTCTCACTCCCACTCTCACTCTCACTCCCACACTCACTCTCACACTCTCTCTCACTCCCACACTCACTCTCACTCTCTCTCTCACTCTCACTCTACACACACTCTCTCACTCCCACACTCACTCTCACACTCTCTCTCACTCCCACACTCTCTCTCACTCTCACACTCTCTCTCACTCCCACACTCACTCTCACTCTCTCTCTCACTCTCAGTCTCACACACTCTCTCACTCCCACACTCACTCTCACATTCTCACTCTCTCTCACTCCCACACTCACTCTCACTCCCACACTCACTCTCTCACTCCCACACTCACTTTCATATTCTCACTTCCACACTCGCTCTCACTTTCTCTCACTCCCACACTCTCTCGCACTCTCTCACTCCCAAACTCTCTCTCACACCCGCTCTCACTCACACACTCACTCTCACTTTCACACTCTCTCTCACTCCCTCACACTCTCTCACTCCCACACTCACTCTCACACTCTCTCACTCCCACACTCACTCTCACTTTCTCTCACTCCCACACTCTCTCGCACTCTCTCACTCCCAAACTCTCTCCCACACTCTCTCTCACTCCCAAACTCTCTCGCACACTCTCTCTCACTCTCACACTCTCTCTCACTCCCACACACTCTCTCTCACTCCCACACTCACTCTCACTCCCACACTCACTCTCACTCCCACACTCACTCCCACACTCTCTCTCACTCCCACACTCTCTCTCACTCCCACACTCACTCTCACTCCCACACTCACTCCCTCACACTCTCTCTCACTCCCAAACTCTCTCTCACACTCTCTCTCACTCTCACACTCTCTCTCACTCCCACACTCACTCCCACACTCACTCTCACACTCTCTCTCACTCCCACACTCTCTCTCACTCCCACACTCACTCTCACTCCCACACTCACTCTCACACTCTCTCTCACTCTCACACTCTCTCTCACTCCCACACTCACTCTCACTCCCACACTCACTCTCACACTCTCTCTCACTCCCAAACCCACTCCCACACCCTCTCTCACACTCTCTCACTCCCACACTCACTCTCACACTCTCTCACTCACACACTCACTCTCACTCCCACACTCTCTCGCACTCTCTCACTCCCACACTCTCTCTCACTCTCACACTCTCTCTCACTCCCACACTCACTCTCACTCCCACACTCACTATCACACTCTCTCTCACTCCCACACTCACTCTCACTCTCACACTCTCTCTCACTCCCACACTCACTCACACACTCTCTCTCACTCCCACACCCGTTCTCACTTTATCTCACTCCCACACTCACTCTCTAATACTCTCACACTCTCTCTCACTCCCACTCTTTCTCTCACTCCCACACTCACTCTCACATTCTCTCACTCTCACACTCTCCCACACTCTCTAATACTCTCACACACTTTCTCACTCTCACACTCTCTTACACACACACACTCTCTCTCACTCGTACTCTCACTCTCTCTCACCCCAACAGTCTCTCTCACTCCCACACTCACTCTCACTCCCACACTCACTCTCACACTCTCTCTCACTCCCAAACTCTCTCCCACACTCTCTCTCACTCTCACACTCTCTCTCACTCCCACACTCTCTCTCACTCCCACACTCACTCCCACACTCACTCTCACACTCTCTCTCACTCCCACACTCACTCTCACTCCCACACTCACTCTCACACTCTCTCTCACTCCCACACTCTCTCTCACTCCCACACTCACTCTCACACTCTCTCTCACTCCCACACTCACTCTCACTCCCACACTCACTCTCACACTCTCTCTCACTCCCACACTCTCTCCCACACTCTCTCTCACTCCCACACTCTCTCTCACTCCCACACTCACTCTCACACTCTCTCTCACTCCCACACTCTCTCTCACTCCCACACTCTCTCTCACTCCCACACTCACTCTCACTCCCACACTCACTCTCACACTCTCTCTCACTCCCAAACCCACTCCCACACCCTCTCTCACACTCTCTCACTCCCACACTCACTTTCTCTCACTCCCACACTCTCTCGCACTCTCTCACTCCCAAACTCTCTCCCACACTCTCTCTTACTCCCACACTCACTCTCACTCCCACACTCACTCTCACACTCTCTCTCACTCACTCTCACTCCCACACTCTCTCTCACTCCCAAACTCTCTCTCACACTCTCTCTCACTCCCACACTCACTCACACACTCTCTCTCACTCCCACACTCACTCACACACTCTCTCTCACTCCCACACCCGTTCTCACTTTATCTCACTCCCACACTCACTCTCTAATACTCTCACACTCTCTCACACTCTCTCTCACTCCCACTCTCTCTCTCACTCCCACACTCACTCTCACATTCTCTCACTCTCACACTCTCCCACACTCTCTAATACTCTCACACACTTTCTCACTCTCACACTCTCTTACACACACACACTCTCTCTCACTCGTACTCTCACTCTCTCTCACCCCAACAGTCTCTCTCACTCCCACACACACACTCTCTCTCACACACAGAGTGGGAGGGCTGTAACGTGCCAATACACTTCACTCACATTGCCTAGAATGAGTTTGTTTGGTGTGTGTGTGTGTACCGGCTGGAGGGGCCCGGTGGCACATACTGGCTGCCTCGCTTCTGTCAGTGTGCCCCAGGGCAGTTGTGGCTACAGTTGAAGTTCATCACCGTGTATGGAGTGTGAAGCGTTTTTGAGTGCCCAAATAAGCGCTATATAAAACCGATACATTATAAACAAGTATTGATTGACCTTTTTGTTCTGTTTTTTAGCTTAACTGAATGTTTCCTGTCAAGCGGTTTCTGCCTTGAACTGGCCAATCAGCTCGCTTCCTCTGAATGCCATGTGCAGGAGTTGGACCTCACCAATAACTGCATCCAAGACCGAGGGCTAAAGCAGCTCTGTGCGGCACTCAAGAACCCACAGTGCGCCCTCAAAAAGCTTGTGTAAGTTTTGCATTTCAAAACAAAAAGTTAGACATTGCTCAGTGATTACATAAAGAAACACCGAACACTGTCTTCTTAATTTGGTCTGTTTTTCCTGAGGTTGTTGCTCTGAACTTAACTGTGCATAGTTAACATGTTAGCTTAAAGTTGGCAGTCCTTGTTCTATAGCTAGAAATTGGATCTATAGCCTCGCTGTCCGTGTGAACAAATTCCTCCCTCAATATGGGCCTCTAGCCTGGCCTTAGCACTCCGGTCAATAATCATTTCCCTTAATACGAAATGTACAGATTTGTACTATGGTGTGGTACGACCAGGCTAGGCGGAGGTTTTTCACTCTTTCCCACTGGGTTTTTGAGTTGTTCCTTATCGATACAGAAGGGTCTAAAGACAGTGATGTTCTGGGTCATTTAAGGACTTTTAATAACATTTATGGACATTGGTCATCCCACTCCCTACTTTGTACTGGTTTGTGCGTCAAAAGGAACACCGGCACAGAGAAACAAAACCAAACTGAGCTCTGGAGTTACTGTTGTTTAAAGCAGACTGTTTCATTCCAATAAATAAATGCATGTTTTTGTCTCTAGTCTGAGAAACTGTGGCCTCACCTCCAAATGCGTCCCATTCCTCTTCACGGCCCTCAAGCCCAACGTTAACCTGAAGGAGCTGTATTTACTGGGCAATAGACTGGACGACACAGCCAAAAAAGTGATGGTGGGGATGACCAAGAACAACTCCTACAAGTTGGAAACTATAGAGTAAGTTCAAACGCACAGAATATATTTATTATTTAACTCTAGAGTTGAATTGATGACATTCACTTTTTTGTCTTTTAGTGTCGAGATCGACTAAAGAAGAAACTAAGATCAGTTCTGTTATGACTGGACCAAGGACTTTTTTTATATTTTTTATCCTATAGAAAATGTCAAAGTGCCTCAAAGCAAAGTTTTGCATTATTTTTTAATGATTGTCAAATAAACCTTTGTGACTTATGAAGAGACCAAAACCTGCTCATGTTTTATACAATACTGGTCAAAGATTGTTGTAATATTCCAATACAAAGCCACTGTGTTTTGGCATAAATGTTGTCTTTTCAAACCTGTTTCTCTTTGTGGTTTTTATGGCACTAGTTGAGAATGTTATGTTATAAAGAATACTGTTTTTCTTTAGCTAATCCCCGATGCTTATATCCCAAATGCAGTTTTTCCATAAAATCAATTACATACGCTCATAATTGATTTATATTTAGGATATAATAAAGTAACATTGACCCAAAGATTCTGCTTGACAATTACTACAGCAGTATTTCACATGAGTTATTGTCGCTATAGCAACACAGCAGAGAGCAAGATTGTATTGTAAAGTTAGCAAGTTTTAAAAGTGTACATGGTGTGTTTCATAAAGGTTGGTGGCATTAAATCAATGATGTGATGCACAACACTTAAGAACATATACAATTACAAACATAAACATTTGACGAGCTTTGACAGTCGAATCATTATGACTTAGAATTGTTATGTTAAAAAAAATAAAAATATGGACTGCCTACTATATTGTATACTTTTTTTTTTCAGCGTGTTTGAGTGCAGTTTATCTGGGGACTACTGCGCTGGCGTCTCATCTTTCTTCCTCTGAGTGTCCTGTGACAGACTGGACCCTCTCCTGTAACCACAAACAAGTCCCTCTGTGATCCTGAAGAGCCCACAGTGTGCTCTCCAAAAGCTATTGTACGGGCTACTTTTGTTCCATATGTGTTTGACTCAACAGTCAAGGTCAAGTTTATTTATATAGCACCTTTTAAAAAACAGACAGGACTGTCACAAAGTGCTTACCAGACATTGTAAAATACAACACATAGATAGGATACAGCATAAAAATAAATGCAGGACACTATCATAAATGTTTCAACATTGCTTGTGTTAAAAAGCCAGAGTCAGAGGACCTCAGTGCTCTTCCCACAGTGTGCAAAGTAAGCAAGTCAGTCAGATATGACGGAGCCAGGTCATGCAGAGATTTAAATACTAACAATAACATTTTAAACTTAATTCTAAAAGCGACAGGAAGCCAATGTAGAGACGACAGCACAGGAGTGATGTGCTCGTGTCGTCTGGTGCCAGTCGTGATCCGAGCTGCTGCATTCTGTACCAGCTGCAGTCTGAGGACTGGTCAAGGCCAAAGTACTGTCTTGCAGAAATGACATTATAAAAAGGCCTTCATAAATATATAAATATTCCCACTGTTTTTAGTTGTAATCATACAAAGAGCAGGTGGATTAAGACAAATATTTGAACATGTTTTCATACAGCTTTGTTTTTGCTCGTGGTCTTTAAACTGTAGCCTGACCTCAAAGTGTGTCCGCTACTCTGCCTCTGCCCTGAGACTAACGTTCACCTATGGAGATGTTTGTACTGGGAAATGAACTGGAAGAGACAGTACTGCAAAAGTTACTGAAACTCATACAGGATAAAAAAAACATAAAGTTAAAATGTTTGAGTAAAGAACAATTCAATGTTTTTCATGTTTTATGTTCTCGTGTGTAACATGTATTTTCCACCCTCTCGTGTGTGTGTTTGAAATTCAATAGATGAAGGCTCTTTAAACTTGTAATGTTTTTAAGACTTTTCCAAGAAATAAGTTCATTTTTATCAAATCTAAACTATGATGAAATGTACATTTTGATGTTTTTGTCTATTTGACTTTCTACAATTCATAGTTTTGTTTTTTTCTTGGACTTTAGAGCAGTGTGTTATTTGCATACTTCTATAATATATAAGGGATAGAGTAGTCTTAGCATGTGCCATGTGGACCATCTGGGACTCTGAGGAACACAGGGACCTGGCCTCCTGCTGGGACTCAGGGGATCACAGGGACTGGCCTCCTGCTGGGACTCAGGGGATCACAGGGACTGGCCTCCTGCTGGGACTCAGGGGAACACAGGGACCTGGCCTCCTGCTGGGACTCAGGGGAACACAGGGACCTGGCCTCCTGCTGGGACTCAGGGGATCACAGGGACTGGCCTCCTGCTGGGACTCAGGGGAACACAGGGACCTGGCCTCCTGCTGGGACTCAGGGGAACACAGGGACTGGCCTCCTGCTGGGACTCAGGGGATCACAGGGACTGGCCTCCTGCTGGGACTCAGGGGAACACAGGGACCTGGCCTCCTGCTGGGACTCAGGGGATCACAGGGACTGGCCTCCTGCTGGGACTCAGGGGAACACAGGGACCTGGCCTCCTGCTGGGACTCAGGGGAACACAGGGACCTGGCCTCCTGCTGGGACTCAGGGGATCACAGGGACTGGCCTCCTGCTGGGACTCAGGGGATCACAGGGACTGGCCTCCTGCTGGGACTCAGGGGAACACAGGGACCTGGCCTCCTGCTGGGACTCAGGGGATCACAGGGACTGGCCTCCTGCTGGGACTCAGGGGAACACAGGGACCTGGCCTCCTGCTGGGACTCAGGGGAACACAGGGACCTGGCCTCCTGCTGGGACTCAGGGGAACACAGGGACCTGGCCTCCTGCTGGGACAGTTTCAATATTTTACTTGGGTTGGTTTTACTGATTAGCCCAAGTAAAATATGTAATGTTTAAAGCAGGAAGGAGAGTGCTTCAGAGTGGTTTGAGTGGTAGAAGGCTTAACAAACAGGTGCTCTTCAAAGACAGGGAAATCTCAGCAGATTTAGGATGTCAAAAAAGAAGTCTGAGGCACTCTGTTAAAGTGAAAAACTGTGAAAGGCCTTTATCAAAATGGATTGCCTAAACGTGTCGACCAAAGGCTCTTCGTCAGGGCACAGTAATCTCAATCAGGTGTATCCCTTTTAAAAACAAGACATGTGACATGACAAGAAGACATTTTTAAAAAATACCCAGAGTGACTCGAGTCAAATGAAATTACAATGTATTCCAAAAAAGACATAACAAATATGTATATAAATACACATGCATGTATACACAAATACATATATATATCTGTACAGAGCACCACAGGTAAAAGTATTCAAAAATGCAAGAGAAGGGATAGCAGGCCATTATCAGGAGAGCGAGCATGGGCACACCAACTGTACAGCACTGTGCGGGAGAGCAGTGTATTCCAGTCAATACTTAGATCGATATATACCTTCAAAACACAAAACAGCAGATAAACTAAAATTCCAAACATCTATAAATATGTGATATTTAGTCCCTCAAACAAATTCATACAATCCATCAATACTTCGAGAAACAGTTTTGTCCTATCACTAGTTTTTACAGACCTTTCTAGACCTGTCACAGACTGGAAAAGAGACTCTCCCTCACTCAGCCCAAAGTGACAAATAGTTCCTCACGTGGCTATTACCGGAAAGAAAAAGATATTGTCTTCTAATGAGACTCAATGTTCTGGTCTGATCTCAAGTTTTTTTTCCACATTTACCTTTTTAAAAGACGTTCTGTTGGGACCAAAACATGCATTATTGTTACGACGCCCAGCTTTAACAGTATGCAAGGATGCAGCACCCATAGCCTCAAATAGGTCTTGATTATTTGAGTATAGACTGATATTTATATGATAACGCTAGTATCAAATCCAATCCATTTTATTCATTTGATAGCACATGTCATTAAAAACGTTTTCAAAGTAAAATATACAAGTCTGCCAGCTAAAAACAAAACCATTATCTATATACATACATAAACATGAAACAATAAAACAGATAAAAACAATAAAATAATCAAAATAACGAGTGAGTGCAGCGGCTTGTCTTGTCTGTCTTGATCATAACACGCCAGCACGCCCCCTGGTGGCCGACTCTCGCAACTTGACACCTTTCACAACCGGGCTGCTGCTGCGGTCTCTGTGTGTGTGTGCGTGTGTGCATGTGTATGTGTGTGTCCGCTCCAGCATCACCATCCCTGGGTCTGTCGCAGCTGAGAAGTCGCGTCCAGAGCCGGAGGTAGGACACAAAAAAGCACCTATAAAACTGCCCACCGCTTTAACAATACAACATGTTTACGCGTTCCTCTCTCAGACACGCGTCGTCATCCGTGCGTCTCCGCTCCATTACGTAATTTGGCATGAGCGGTCATAGCTGGGGGTTAGGCGGGTACAGAGGCATGCAGAGTTACGTTTCTGCGTGCGTCTGTGCCCAAGTCAAAGCTGGGTGGTGGATGTGGAATTTTTTGGGTAGGGGTATTGTATAGGCCCTTATGGCGCAGTTTGAACTAGTGCGTTGTGTATGCGTGTGTGTGTGTGTGTGTGTGTGTGTGTGCGTGCCATTGGAACGCGCGTCCACGGATGTCGCAGTGTGTGGAGTATTTAGGAGGGAGAAAGTTAGGGTGGCTGTGGTTGCCAGGTTGATACTGACAGTTTTGTGATGATTGGATGGACGTTCATTGCATGCAGCATCCTCTTCCCTGGTTCTCTCTTCAGTTTTTCGTGTGTGTGTGTGTGTGTGTGTGTGTGTGTGTGTGTGTGTGTGTGTGTGTGTGTGTGTGTGTGTGTGTGTTGTTGTTGCGTCGCTGAAGACTTCTCTAAGCAGGTTAAAGGGGACAGGTCAGCCACTTGCAAAATATTGATTTCGGATAAAGCTACAATCAAATCCACAGTGCAGGAGCTCGCGTTGCAGGTGGATTAAGCCAAAGTGACGTAATGACTTTTCCCGCCCAAAAAAACTATTATAATTGAAAGGTTCTATCCTACAATTATTTGTTTTTATTCTGAGGCTTAAAGTTTGTGCCATCGTGCTAAAGTTAGGCAACCTTTCTCAAAAATAACAGTCTTGAAGCCAATAGAAGCTGACAAGTCTGTGACATTGGGCGGCACGGTGGCTGAGTGGATAGATCTCTCGCTTCTCAGAAAGAATGTCCTCGGTTTAATTCCCGGTTAGGTTTCCTCCAGGTGCTCCGGTTTCAACCACCCCTAAACACACGTACAGTAGGTTTGGCATGCGCCTCCTGTACTGGTAACCTCGCTCTCATCTCTGCTTTGTGACTCTGGTCTGTGAAAGGTGGTATATAAATAAAAAATACTAACTTACTTAGTGTCTGCTCTAAAAGTAGGAACATTTCGGGGAAGTATTCTATCTACTGTATCTCTCTATCTATCTCATTCTCAATTAAAAGAGTTTCTTCTGCAGAGTGTTGGGTGCTCTCACAGATGGTGTGAGGAGCACAGTCACATGGGAAGAGCTCAGGCTAAAGCCGCTGCTCCTGGAGACTTGCTCGGAGTCCCCAGGGATCCAGGCCCCCAAAGTGGAAACCCATCACCTCTGTCTGAACAAGGCAAAAAGTCCCACCCTCTTCTGCTTTCTTTTTCTCATCATTGACCTTCTGTTGAGGCCTGCCATGAGGAGCAGTGAGGGAGCGGTGCTGTGGCTGAGGTCAAATGAATCCTGGTGCTCTTTGAGTCTGTGAGAATGCATACTTTTTCTTTCTAGAAGTTGAAAGAAGTATGTACAGAGAAGAAAGCCTGCTGCATTACCCGCATATGCAGTATTCTCTGTTCGTTTGACCTGAATAATCACAATTACAACTATAGCCTCCCTTGCATCCCTGACAGCAGAGGCAGAAAAGCAGCGGTGGAAATTCAATGACTAACCCTCGTTTCCTCGACTTTGTAGTGAGTGAAAATGGGGAAGGAGAAGCTTCACATAAACATTGTGGTGATCGGGCATGTGGACTCTGGGAAGTCCACCACCACAGGACACCTCATCTACAAGTGCGGAGGCATCGACAAGAGGACCATCGAGAAGTTTGAGAAGGAGGCTGCAGAGGTACCACTCACTCATACGCAGTAGTAGTAGAGTAGTAGTAGTAGTAACTGTTTTGTATGTATAACCTACACTCAGTGCAAAAAATGATACAATATGAGGTCATTTTTGCTTGATTCAAGAGTTTTTAATCCTAATCTGAGCACGTTCTGACTGTCTTAAAACAAGGGACAAAGCCATTTAGTCTTAATTCAAGAACTGTATCTTTAATTTCTCATTCCAAGTGAGACATTTCTTGCTTCTTTTTAAAACAAGATAATTTTTCTTGTCCCGCATTGGTAAATCTTGTTTTAAGGCAGTCAGAATGTGCTCGGATTAAGATACGTTTTGGCAAATTTGAGCATGTTTTTATTTTTTGCAGTGCACCAAAGGTCAACAGACAAGACACAAAAACAAACAGAAATACACAGTTTGAAAGTGGTTCTATCCTCTCTCACAAACACACAACACACACACACACACACACACACACCTTTCTGATGCAGGAGGGTCTAAGGACAGAGATGATCCGGGACATTTGTGGAAATTTTTTCAAACATTTATGGACATTGGTCATCCCACCTTCCTTATACTGTATGCTAATGGCTCACATGGCAAGGCAAGACAAGTTTTTTTGTATAGCACAGTTCATACACAAGGCAACTCGTAATACAACACAAGGCAATCACACAAGGTATTAAAATCATAAATTATGTGTTGTTTGGGGTCCTGCCTCTAAACTAATGCAGCTTTCTGAGAGTTCTCTTTCACAAAGCACTTACAAACTTAAGACATTTTTACCTGTATGATTTGTTGAAGTTTTGTTAATAAAGATACATATATTGAATTTTCTTTGTGATCATTGCATCTCAATCCGTGTATCGTTCGTTACACGGATTCATCTCTGTTCTATTTTTGCGGAATCCTCGCAAAGTCCTCCGAGACGACTTCTGTTGTGATTTAAGGCTATACAAAAATCCATGGATAATTAAACACACACTCACTCCCTCCGAGAAGACACAGGCCCGCACACCCTCTGACCCTACACCTCTGCCCCATGTCAGTGTGCACACATGGAATCATCAATGCACATACAGATATATATTTACAGTATGTGGCAGGTTTGAGTCTCCTTGTGTCTCTCTCTCTTGCAGATGGGGAAAGGTTCGTTTAAATACGCCTGGGTTTTGGACAAGCTGAAAGCGGAGCGAGAGCGCGGCATCACCATCGACATTTCCCTGTGGAAGTTTGAGACGAGTAAATACTACGTGACTATCATCGATGCACCGGGACACAGGGACTTCATCAAGAACATGATCACTGGCACCTCTCAAGTAAAAAACAATGTTATGTAAAACACAACCAGACCCTGATAATCATGAATAAAAATCAATCAGAAAGTATTTTGAGAAGCACTGGTCTTCTCTCCACCTTTGCTTTCAAATTTCTACCCTTTTTGAATTTAGTGTTTTGGATTTTATTGTATGAACTCACACACAATTCATTCTATTTTGGTTTTCTCGGTGTGTCGGTGACTGGGGCTCGCTCTGGCGTGACTACAGTGGACCTGGATTTTGTTACAAATTCATTCATTTCATTGTAGGTACTGTGTATAAGCCATCCTCTTTCCCTTCACATGCATTCTCCCCTGCTGTGTAGGTTGTAGCGTTTGCTGGTTTAAAGCTGGGGTACCTAACTTGTCAGAAAGAACTTAGTTTTTGCCTTTGTCTGTGCCCTCCGTCCGCTTTGTTTTGTGTATTTTGACTTTGTATTGGTATAACTGGTTTAATAGCTGTTTTTATAGTTTTATGTTGACCGTGCAGGGCTTTGTGAACACTGTTTTTGAAGAGTGCTATACAAAAAAAATTATATATTATTTTTTTATTGTTATTAATATGTTGCTATGGTAACAGTCTCTCTCCTCTGCTTCAGGTAGTAGGAATGAGGAGAACACAGCACAAGATATATTAACACTAACCCTTTACTAAATCCCATAACATCAGTATCTAAAATCTCCAACATAATAAGACGTAACTAAAAAATCTTTAACTTAGGAAAAATACAGAAGCAAGTTTAAAATACTGTATATTCTAGTTGCATGTATACATCTGTACATGTTGGCAGCATATGAGGGTCTGGGACAAAGTGATTCTACATTGTACATTATTATTATTATGTTGCTACGGTAACAGTCTCTCTCCTCTGCTTCAGGCCGACTGCGCCGTGCTCATCGTGGCCGCGGGCGTGGGAGAGTTCGAAGCCGGGATCTCCAAGAATGGCCAGACCCGCGAGCACGCCCTGCTGGCCTACACGCTGGGGGTGAAGCAGCTCATCGTGGGCATCAACAAAATGGACTCCACCGAACCCAACTACAGCCAGAAACGCTACGAGGAGATTGTGAAGGAGGTCAGCACCTACATCAAGAAGATCGGATACAACCCCGACACCGTGGCCTTCGTGCCCATCTCCGGCTGGAACGGGGACAACATGCTGGAGCCCAGTCCCAACGTGAGGCAACGACACAGCTTATTTGTGTAGCACAGTTCATACACAAGGCTGAACAAAACGAGATAGAGACAGTCACACAAGGCATTCAAATAGATATAATAAATACATCAAATAATAACAGTACATTAAAAAGAGCAAAGATAAAAGACCTCAGAAATGTACTCACACACACGCGCACAAATGCACAAACACACACACACACACACACACACACACACACACACACACACACACACACACATCATAGATCCATGATACACACACACACATACTGCTCAAAAAGCCAGTTCTTACATTGTGTTGCTCTGTGGCTCTAACGCCCGCTGCTGCCCTCTTGTGGTGGTCCTGCTGCTGTCCTCTGCAGATGTCTTGGTTCAAAGGATGGAAGATTAACCGTAAAGATGGTCATGCGTCCGGCACCACGCTGCTGGAGGCTCTGGACGCCATCCAGTCGCCCTCTCGTCCCACGGACAAACCCCTGCGCCTGCCGCTCCAGGACGTCTACAAGATCGGAGGTCAAGAGGCAACTAGAATAACTACATCATCATGATCATAATAACTACATCATGAATAACTACATCATCATGATCATAATAACTACATCATCATGATCAGAATAACTACATTATCATGATCAGAATAACTACATCATCATGATCAGATGAGAGAAATTGAGGATAAGTGAACAATAACTCTAAACTACAGTAAAATACAATCTATAACTTTATCATAACAAAGAAGCATGTAAGACATCTCTAACTAGACTCTAAATAGTACTTTAAATAGATCTAGTTAGTTGTTACTCAGGGAACTTCAGGCAAGAGGCGCTGTTCAAAATCCTGGGTCGAAACTGGATCTGGATCACATCCAAAATGTAAGAATTTCTTCAGAGTTATGCAGAAAAACGTAAATATAAATGTGTTATAGGCTCTGCTCCCCTCACAGCTCAGAGTTACAAAGCCACAAAAATCTCATTAAAAAGTGAATTCATTTCTGTAATTCTAACATAAACCTGACATGATATAGACTCAGTATCTACAAAGTCACAGAAGTGAAACATTTGTTTGTTATAACTTATATTTCAAAACATTTGATGCATAAATGTTTTATTTTGGGGTTTTACAATCCGTGAGTCGATTATCAACATCAAAGCACATAACGGCTTGATGCATCTCACCTTGTTTAGAAAAGGCCTGTCATATATTAGTTTACCACCGTAACTAAAAAGACTTCATAATGATACTTTTAAACTACCTTTTTACCCATCTTCTTTCACCTTTACTTTACCTTTTTATCTTATTTTTTTATTTTTTATTATCTTACCTAAATGGGATCTATATGCAAATGTTGAGGAAAATTAGCTTGTTATTGTAAGCCCAATAAAGAAATCATGGAAACATTCTGTATGATGATGACGGCAACTGTATCTGTCATAATGTTTTGCTATTTCCAAATAAAATATAATCTAAATAAGGAAATACACTGTAAAGTTTTTATTGGTTTCAGGTATCGGCACAGTCCCGGTGGGCCGCGTGGAGACCGGGGTCCTCAAACCGGGGATGGTGGTGACGTTTGCCCCGGTGAACGTGACCACAGAAGTGAAGTCTGTGGAGATGCACCACGAGGCTCTGCCCGAGGCGCTGCCCGGAGACAACGTGGGCTTCAACGTCAAGAACGTGTCCGTCAAAGACATTCGCCGTGGCAACGTGGCCGGGGACAGCAGGGTCGACCCGCCGCAAGAGGCCGCCAGCTTCACCGCCCAGGTCAGTGCGAGTGAGAGGTCAGACTGCGCACTACGGAGCCAACTTCCAACTTTTACGTCTTGTTTATTGGTCTCCCACAGCCTGAAATCTCAGTTCAATTTCATTTCAATGTATCTTTTGTATAGACCTAAATCACAGCAGTAGTTACAGTATCTCCGTTGAATTCGCCAACACAGATTAGAGAATCAAACCGTTCAGACACAAGAAATGCAATAATTGAAAACACATAGAGCCATTGGTCCATTAGGGGCAGATGACCGATGTCTATAAATGTTGATAAATGTCCATAAATGTAGAATGTGGAGTGTCCTGGAGCATCACCAGTGTCCTGACCCTCCTGCATCGGCGAGGAAAAACTCTAAAGGCTCAAACATAAATAACTCGTCATTCATGCATTTCCTGTGTTTGAACTGTTAAATTCTCTGATCTATTGTTGGCGAATCCGTCGGCGAATCCGCGAAGTCCTCCGAGATGACTATTGTTGTGATTTAGGGCGGTACAAAATACATTGAATTGATTACAACATAATCAACAACTACGAAAAGGTGATATTTCATTCATTATTATTGCCTTTGATATGTCTTCTTCATACACCGTTGCCTAGGTGATCATCCTGAACCACCCGGGTCAGATCAGCGCAGGTTATGCCCCCGTGCTGGACTGCCACACGGCTCACATCGCCTGTAAGTTTGCGGAGCTCAAGGAGAAGATCGACCGTCGCTCGGGAAAGAAGCTGGAGGACAACCCCAAGTTCCTGAAGTCCGGAGACGCCGCCATCGTGGACATGATCCCCGGAAAACCCATGTGTGTGGAGAGCTTCTCCGAGTACCCGCCTCTCGGTGAGTCACAGCAACAATGATCAAATATGAGGTCAGAAGCGTTTTTTTCATATTAGTTTGAGAACATTCTGATTAGACAACGGGACAAAGCCATTTTGTCATAGTTCTCATTCCAAGGATTTCTTGTATCAAAAAATGCTCAATTTAAGATAAATTTTAGCCAATTTTGGGGGATTTTTGAATTATTTTTCTATCACTTTTGGCAGTGTTGTTTACCCCGTGTGTGTGTGTTCGTGTGTGTGCGTGTGTGTTGTCTCTAAGCGAGTGCACGTGCAGTCGTTTTAATAGTTTTCTTAAGCACTTTTAGTTGCATTTTATATGAATTACTCAAATAAACTTGCCTTGCCTTGACCTGGTGATGAGGACATAGATAGATAGATACTCACAGACAGACAGACAGATAGATAGATAGAAACACAACCATACAAACACACACAATTACATTAATATTTCTAACTAACACAATCATAATCCGACCACACCTTCTCGTCTCTCAGGTCGTTTTGCCGTGCGTGACATGCGGCAGACCGTGGCCGTGGGCGTCATCAAAGGAGTGGAGAAGAAAGCTCCGACCAGCGGGAAGGTCACCAAGTCCGCGCAGAAGGCCCAGAAGACCAAATGAATGTTGTGCTGGGCTGCTGCCCCACACAAGCGCGACCACCACCACCGCCGGCCCCCCCGCGCGCTGCCCCTGTTAGAATCCATCATCAGTGTGTGGTCTATTATCACAATGCATCGCAAAAGCCGCCGAAGGAAAAACAGTCACTCCAACCACGACACGACTAACACAGGGTTCGGTACTTGGTCCATCGTCATTGGCAACGCTACAACACTAACTATAGCTTCCTCGCAGTATTTTGTATTTACTGCCACGATACACAGGCGTTTCTTTGACTGGTCGAAATTGGAGTGGATTTGGAACAGTCAAGGAAAATAAAAGCCGCAAGAACAAATACACAGATGTTTCACACATGTCGTAGTCTTGCTGTGTCAATGGTTTTTCATTTGAAATATATTAGAGCGTTGTGCAACTTTTTATGTGGAAAAAAAGTGTATGTTTTTGCCCTGTTTGATCGTAGTGACCCCGTGGTTGTATGAGTGGTCAGAACGGTACCTTTACTTTTGTCTCTACACTGCTCCAGGATCAATTGTGTTGTATGTTTTCTGGTACGGTTCCGTCCCACAGCCGAGAAAACCTTCAATTTCATTTATTGTTGTATAGCTCTAAATCACCACAGTAGTTAAATGTAAATGTGCACTTTATTGTCCCCGTAGGGAAATTTATTTTATGCATTTGACCCATCCTGATGCCACTAAGGCTTCAGGAGCAGTGGTTGCCGTAGTAACAGCGGCCAGGGACCCATGTTGGTACTCGGCTTGGTCAGGACTGAAGCTGGAGGATTTTATCTATTGTGCGTATTTTTAGTGGTAGGGGGAACCAGAGAACCCGGAGGAAACCTACGCAGACACGGGGAGAACATGCAAACTCCACTCAGAAAGACCCTGACCCAGGATACTCTTGCTGAGAAGCAAGACTGCTGCCCTCTCAGCTACCGTGTCACCCTGTTTTTCTTTTCTTTTTTGCATATAAAAAATACATCGCAGGACTTTTGTCAATATTTTCCAATACAGATCAAAAGTGGCCAAAATGACGTGCGCTGACATGCTTGCAATACCACCCCGGGCCGATGGGGGTGGACCCAGAAGAAGAATTAGCCAATGCTAACATATAGCATTGGCAGACCTCTCAAAAACGTCTTTACAGGATGGACCAAAAGTTGGCTCTTGGCCCAAAGCTCCGTTCCACATGTGTGTCAATGCTGAGGGGGGTGGATTTTTTTGGACCACTCTAGTTTACTTCCTGTGAATTTTTGAAGTCTCTCGTTCAAATGAATGGAGCTCGTGCCGCCTGACGCATGCACAGATGCATTTTTTCACATTTTCCAGCTTCCGCAGCCATTTTGAATCACTCCATGAGAGCTCAATTTTAGGCCCGTTAGATAGAGGGGCGGAGATAGGCGTGACTACGTCCGTTAATACAGTCTATGGTTCAAATACAGGTAATTGCAATCATAAAAAAACCACATAGAGCCATTGGTCTATAAAGAGCAGATGACGGATGTCTATAAATGTCTTTGAATGTGAGTGTCCTGGATCCTAAGACCCTCGTGCATCTGCAATTAAAAAATCTAAAAACCTTCCAAACTAGAATCTTACAGCCCCCTGTGATGAGAGTGAGGGCACCATGCTGACCACTCGTGCAGCCACTGGGTCACTGCAAGGTTAAACATATATTTAATTTGTGTGTGTGTTTGTGTATTTGGATTGGAAAGTGTGTATTCATGAACACTAACTGGAAATACACAGATTGTGGCTTTGTGGCTCATTTCCATCTATGGTCCCATACACAAACACACACTCATTCAACATTTATTTAGTATGTACTTTTGTGATCATACTTGCATGTGACAGCCAGATCCTGGCCTGACATATGAAGCTAAACAGGGCAGGACCTGGTTAGTACTGTGATGGGAGACCTCGGAGAACATCAGGTGCCACAGTAGGGCGCCAGCAGCTGTAAAGTACCAAACTGATGTTGTGTCCACATTAGAATGAGTCTGGTGTGTGTGTGAATGGTTGGTGGTGGTCAGAAGGGTTGTTACATAAGTAGTTTATCACCACCGTGTTTGGAGTGACGGAATAATGACACAGGTTTGGATGTCTTTGAGCATCCAAAAAAGTGCTATATATTATTATCAAAGAAAAATGCTAAAATGTAGACTTCATTCACATAAAAAGTTGCAGAATTATCCTTTAGGGGAAAACAATAGTTACTTCATCTGTTCAGAAAACTGTTCGGCAAAATGTGCACAAAATCGAGGTTCTTCATAACAAATGGTTTTATAGGAATATCTGTATAATGCTGGTAGATTTAGCTGTTACTATTGTGTGTTAGCTTTAGCTGTAGAAATGCTGTTTGTCAAAGTATTGCTCCGTGTTGTAGCTTTAATATGGTCTTTGTGACGTGGGCACAGGTGAACCGGCTGCTTTTGCATGTTCCCTCAGCACTTTAGCGGCTTCAGGTCCGTGAGGTCCTGAGCTCAGCACTTTGCTCGGTATAAGCTCCCTGCAGTAGCACTGTTCAATGTGGGATACTGTTCATGCACCTTAATCATTGTTATTGTGGAAACTTGCTGACAGTAAATATGTTAAAATATAAGATTGTGTGAGCGTTTTTATTTCATGTATATTTGTTTGAAGAATTTTGGTTTAGATGTAGAGGTTTTTCTGATTTTGACGTACAGAGGTGGCAACAAGTACTAGTGTATGTAAAAGTATAGGTACTAGTAAACAAATCTACTGTGATAAAAGTATAGGTTGTGGTTCTATAATTCTATCTCAGGTGGAGGACAGGGGCCAATACTAGGGGAATTAAATATTGAATAAGAAAATGTACAAATATCTTTCCCCAAATAATTATTTTACACTGATTAGATTGGTAAATCCACCATAGTTCAGTGCCTTGCGAAAGTATTCGGCCCCCCCCTGGTAGGGTCTCCCATGGCAGACAGGTCTCAAGTGACGAGTCAGACGAAGCGCAGTCCGAAGCCAACCATGGACAGCACGACAATGAGAACCGTGACGTCGCCCGGCATGGCGCAGCCGGGGCCCCACCCTGGAGCCAGGCCTGGGGTCGGGGCTCGCAAGCGAGCGCCTGGTGGCCGGGCCTTAGCCCACGGGGCTCAGCCCGAAGGGATGACGTGGGCAGTCCCTCCTGTGGGCCCACCACCTGCAGAGGGGTCCGTGGTGGCGAGGTGCAGAGAGGACTGGGCGGCAATCGAAGGCGGAGACCTCGACGACCCAGTCCACACACCCAACATCTGGCTCTTGGGACGTGGAACGTCACCTCACTGGGGGGGAAGGAGCCCGAGCTTGTGGGGGAGGTTGAGCGATACCGACTAGAGATAGTCGGCCTCACCTCCACACACAGCTTGGGCTCTGGAACCCAACTCCTTGAGAGGGGTTGGACGCTCCACTTTTCTGGTGTTTCCCGCGGGGAGAGGCGGCGAGCTGGGGTGGCCATACTCATTGCCCCCCATCTCAGCCGCCACGTGTTGGAGTTCTCCCCGGTGAATGAGAGGGTCGCGTCCCTCCGCCTCCGGGTGGGGGACAAGTCTCTCACTGTTGTGACGGCCTACGGGCCTAACGGTAGTGCAGAGTACCCGGCCTTCTTGGAGTCCTTGGGAGGGGTACTGGACAGTGCACCGCCCGGGGACTCCGTTATTCTCCTGGGGGACTTCAACGCCCATGTGGGAAATGCCAGTGACACTTGGAGAGGGGTGATCGGGAAGAATGGCCCCCCTGATCTGAACCCGAGTGGTGTTCAGTTGTTGGACTTCTGTGCCAGTCACGGCCTGTCCATCACGAACACCATGTTCGAGCACAAGGGTGTCCACCAGTGCACGTGGCACCAGGACACCCTAGGCCGGAGGTCGATGATCGACTTTGTAGTCGTATCATCTGACCTTCGACCGCGTGTCTCGGACACTCGGGTGAAGAGAGGGGCGGAGCTGTCAACCGATCATCACCTGGTCGTGAGTTGGATCCGCTGGCAGGGCAGGAGGCCGGTCAGACCTGGCAGGCCCAAGCGTGTAGTGAGGGTTTGCTGGGAACGTCTTGCTGTCCAGTACCGGCAGGCCAAACGTGCCGCGGCCCGGGCTGTTGCAGAGGCAAAAACCCGGGACTATCGGTCGGCCTTGAAGAGGTTCTGGCAAACCGTCCGGCGCCTCAGGAGGGGGAAGCAGTTCTTTGCCAACACCGTGTATGGTGCGGGTGGAGGGCTGCTGACCTCGACTGGGGATATTGTCGGGCGGTGGAAGGAATACTTCGAGGTTCTCCTCAATCCCCCCGTCACGTCCTCCGTCCAGGAGGCAGAGGCTGAGGATGTTGGGGCGGATACTTCCATCTCCCTGGCCGAGGTCACCAAGGTGGTTGGCAGCCTCCATGGTGGCAAGGCGCCGGGAGTGGATGAGATCCGTCCTGACTATCTAAAGTCTCTGGATGTTGTAGGACTGTCTTGGCTGACATGTCTCTGCAACATCGCGTGGCGATTGGGGGCGGTGCCAATGGAGTGGCAGACCGGGGTGGTGGTCCCTCTCTACAAGAAGGGGGACCGGAGGGTGTGTTCCAATTATCGTGGGATCACACTCCTCAGCCTCCCCGGTAAGGTCTACTCCAAGGTACTGGAGAGGAGGCTACGTCCGATGGTCGAATCTCGGATTCAGGAGGAACAGTGTGGTTTTCGTCCCGGTCGCGGAACACTGGACCAGCTCTATACTCTCCATCGGATACTCGAGGGTTCATGGGAGTTCGCCCAACCTGTCCACATGTGCTTTGTGGATTTGGAGAAGGCGTTCGACCGTGTTCCCCGGGGTGTCCTTTGGGGGGTCCTCCGGGAGTACGGGGTCCTGGGTCCTCTGCTGAGGGCTGTTCGGTCCCTGTATGACCGGAGCCAGAGCTGTGTCCGCATTGCCGGCAGTAAGTCAGACTTGTTCCCGGTGCATGTTGGCCTCCGCCAAGGCTGCCCTTTGTCACCGGTTCTGTTCACTGTATTTATGGACA